GCTCCTCCTCGCTCCTCGCCCCTCCTCCCTCGCTACTCCTCGCTCCTCCTCGCTCCTCCCTCCTCCCTCCTCCCTCGCTCCTCGCTCGCTCCTCCCTCGCTCCTCCCTCGCTCCTCCCTCGCTCCCCGCTCCTCCCGGGAGCCCCCCGTGCTCAAAGCCCTGCCGCCCCGCGCGGGCCCCCCCCTGGCTGGCGCACCGCTCCGGCGCGCGCCCCGCTCGCCTCGGGCCCGCGCCCGCCGGGAGTGCGGGGGGGCGCCCGTGGGAGCCGCCGCGGAGCGCTCTCTCCAGGCGGCCGCCCCCGGGGCCGGGCAGCGCAGGGGGGGCGGGATCTCGGAGGGGGAGCACCCGAGGAGCACGCGAGGAGGAGCGCGAAAACGGAGGGGAGCGAGGAGCGCGATGGTAGGGGAGCGAAAAGCGATATGAACATCCAAAGTTCGGAGCTCCGCGCGGAGTTCTCGGATCGGCGCCGGAGGCGCCGCCAGGGGGCCCACGGCGCCGATCCGAGAAATCCGCGCGGACCTCCGAGTTGTTTTTATATTGATATGTCATGTCTCGTTCCCCAAGGGGGGGGGACCGATGGAGCGAGGAGCAAGGATCGAGGAGCGAGGAGGAGCGAGGAGCGAGGAGGATCGAGGAGGCGGGAGCGAGGAGCGAGGGAGGAGCGAGGAGCGAGGAGCGAGGAGGAGGATCGAGGAGGCGGGCAGGAGGAGGAGGATCGGGGCGGGTGACCCAGGCATGCGGCGCCTCGGTAAGAATCGAGGCGGAGGTGCTTGTTCGTCGCCTTCGGGCCCTCGGGGGCCCTGGGGCCTCGGCGCCGTCAAAAAATGACGCGGGATGCAAGGCCAGTCGCAAGGCAGTGGTCTAGAGGTGGGGGGGGCCGTGTCTCGCAAAAATCGCGACGCCGGGCGTCTGGGAAGGCACCGATCTTGCAGCCTTTCCCTCGTCGTCGCCCGCGTGGACCTCCTGCGACCCTCGGCAAGAGCGGCCTCGAAGAAGGGCTTGTCGCCCCCTTGCAATGTCGCCACCAGTCGAACCTTCAATGTCGCCTCCCTTCAGTGTCGAAGTACAGGAAAACGCAGCATGAGCGGGTGGTTTTTTTTCAGACATCGCACGATGGCTGACATTGGAGAGGGGTCTTAGTCGGCGGCAATATCCGAACCCTACCTTCGCCGATCAACGATTCAGGCAACTAGATGGGCGGCGAGGTTAGGCTTCGGAGTTCGTCGAACACGTGGCGAAATCCGCCTCCTGCTGCTGCTGCTGCTGCTGCTGCTGCTTCTCCTCCTCCTCCTCCTCCTCCTCCTCCTCCTCCTCCTCCTCTCCTCCTCCTCCTCCTCCTCTTCCTCCTCCTCCTCCTCCTCCTCCTCCTCCTCCTCCTCCTCCTCCTCCTCCTCCTCCCCCTCCTCCCTCCTCCCTCCTTTTCCCCCGCCTCACATCGACTCAGAAGAATTGATGGTCGGGGGAGATAGGGTTCGGACGTCGCCGCCTTGACAAGGTACCGATGCCGCTGCCTTGCCCTCGTGGTCGCCTCTTTGGGCTTCCTGGGAGGCCCTCGTCGCCACCGCCGAAGCCGCTTCGAAATCCTGGTCAGGACGCACCCCGGGAGAGGTCTGTAGAGTAGCATTAATCGACTAGACGTAAGAGTGACCTTTCGCTGGAGTGACCTTTGGTGCGGGCACAGATGGGCCCCCAGATGGCTAAAAACGAAGCAGGAGCAGCGGCTTGCGCGCCCAGGTTTGGTCCCCCCGCGGCCCCCAACAAGCCGCGCACCAAAGGTCACTCTTACCCAGGGTCACTCTTGCGCGTAGTCGAATATTCAAGAATAGTGGTATCGGTAGTATCGGTCGTATCGGTAATCTCGGCATCGGTCTCGGTATCGGTTCAAGAAAGTGCAGGGAACATCGGCATCGGTGGTATCTCTGGGTTTCCCCAGCGCGGGAGAGCGGCAAGAACGGCCCTGCCGTCGAGGCTCGAAGGGGCTGGCAGCTCTTCCTCGGCGGAGGGCCGGCGGAGGGCGGCGGGGGTGAGGCGAGGCCGCCTGCACGGCGGAAGGCCGGCGGGAGGCGGCGGAGGTAAACGATGCGCGCCCCGAGGGGTGTTTTGGGTGCAGGGTTCCCGGAATCCGCCACGCAGCCGCGGTAAAGCCCGCAGAGAGGGCCATCTCAGCACGTTTATATTTGGGCACTGGTTTTTTCTTGGAAGAGAATAGACGCACCCTGGGATCAACGGGGCGTGATCTATCTGGCAGGAAGAATTGCGGTCTCAGGGACGCGTGGGTTTTGAAACTTCATAAAGCAAAGCGCACGAGTGCTCCTGGATGCCTACACAGAAACCTTTGTTTTGAAGGCCCGGAATCCCCCTTTCAACAAACGGGGTTATCGGTTGACGTCTCCTTCGCGTGCTCCGCAGCTCATCGCAGCCCTACCTGCTATCTCCAGAAGCGCTGAGCATCGGGAAGGTTTTCGCCTTTTGTTGTCTCTGGGGGCCGTTTTCGGACCCTGGGGCCGTCAGAAACGGACCCAGACTAAAAAATTGCACACCAGACGGACCAGATTTGGCCCTGACCGAGTTCTGGGGCCCTATAACAAATACAGTCGCAAAAACGTAAGACACGAGTACGTCAGAACTCGCAAGCTTCACAGCTCATCATACTCACAATGGGGCTCTCGCCTGAACTGCCAGCCCGCAGGGCGCCCATCTTTCAAGGATACGCGTCTCGTAGCGAAACAGCTCCTCCTCCTCCAACCCCGCCTCCTCCTCCTCCTCCTCCTTCTCCTCCCCCAACCCCGCCTCCTCCCCTCGCTCGAGCACCCGGCACCCTGCCCCTCCCCCCTCCTGCCCCCATCAAGTCTTGGTCGTCCTCCTCCCCCTCCCGGTCGTCCTATTCGTGCCTCTCCGATGCCTCCCTCCGCTCCAACACAACCCAAGTCTGATCAGTGGTATGGTGCCTGGCTCAGTTTTGTTCTGCCCCCTCCAGTCCATGCTTGACCGTGAGCGTAGATTATTGCATCGATGCTTGCGCCTCCCTCCGAATTCATTTGATGGCCCTACCCTTCACTCCTTGTGCGGCTGGGTCCCCGGAGGGCGCCATAGGCCGCCAGCGCCTTGGAGCCAGGCCCCCTTGTGGCGTACGGGTGGCTATACACTGCACGAGTGGGGCCCATGGATCGAGCAGCCGCGAACCAGTGCGGAGAGTTCCCATGAAGTTGGCGCGATGCTTCGCGGCGATTGGCCTGGACCACTCTGGAAGAGGCCACGGGCCATCGCACAGAGGTGGGCCGAGGCAGCGGGCAGCGCTCCGTGGCAGACGAGCTCGCGATCGCGCCCGTTGGCGGAACGTCGGGCTGCGATGCGGGGAGGTCCTGTTGCTGCTGCCGCGCAGCGCCGAGCACCTGGCATCGCTCGGACGTGTGCACTTTTTCTCGGCGAGAACCATCGAGGAGCATCCTTGATCATTTGGCGAACAAACCACGCACGAAACCGGAAAAAAACACAGGGCATGGATGTCCGAGCGATGGCGAGAGCACGACCCCAGAGGCTCTGCCCCTCCGCCCCTCGCCACCGCTGCCCCGATTCCGTGCCCGCCCTCCTGCGGAGGCGGCCTGAGAGACGGGTTTGTCACGTAGTTGCGCCGGAGATCCGCGAGCGTAGCTGGCTTGATACGCACGTGTTGATACGCAACACGTGCCGTACTCAAGACGTCCGGGTTCGTGGCTTAGTTTTAAGGCGGGCCTGTCCCCCATACAGGGGGTTTTTCGACGAAAAATCAAAAATACCCAAAAAATAGTCAAAACATAATCCAAACATAGTATGGGGACGATTTTTTGAGTATGGTTTGACCTTTTGGGGGTATTTTGGGGGTATTGATTATTTTTCGTCGAAAATCCCGCTGTAGGGGGACAGGCCCGACCTAAACTTAGTTGCGCCAGAGATCCGCGAGCTCAAGGAGATTTGGCCAGAACTGACAGATACGTTTATCAACTCGAAGCCGGCATGGGTTTTGGCCCACATCGAGACCGTAGTGGGCGGATGGACGACCACCCACAGAGTGAAGGTCGAGGCATTTGCCAATTGTCTTTTCGGATGCCCGTATTGTCCGGATTATTTTCCCCACTACTTCACTTGTCCCCGCCTCCTTGATTTCATGTCCTTCGTCCGCTCACCTATCCGCCCCGACCCCGTCATCCGCATCGGGCTCGCGTTCCCGCCATTGTATACATCCCACTTCGAGCGAGAGGGCGCCTAACAAAGTAAGACACGCTGCATCGCCGCCCCAATCGTCCTCAGCATACGTTAACTTACTGCGCGCAGCTCAAGCTGCCATCAGCATGTAGAGATCGGCACCTGCTGAACCTCATGCTATTTGCGCTCCTCCTCATCCTCCTCCTCCTCCTCCTCCTCCTCCTCCTCCTCCTCCTCCTCCTCCTCCTCCAGCCGCGCCTCCTCCTCCTCCTCCTCCTCCTCCTCCTCCTCCTCCTCCTCCTCCTCCTCCTCTCCTCCTCCTCCTCCTCCTCCTCCTCCTCCTCCTCTCCTCCTCCTCCTCCTCCTCCTCCTCCTCCTCCTCCTCCTCCTCTCTCCTCCTCCTCCTCTCCTCCTCCTCCTCTCCTCCTCCTCCTCCTCCTCCTCCTCCTCCTCCTCCCTCCCCAACCCGCCTCCTCCCTCGCTCGAGCACCTGGCGCCCTGCCCCTCCCCCTCCTGCCCCCAGGAGGAGGAGGAGGAGGAGGAGGAGGAGGAGGAGGAGGAGGAGGGAGGCGGAGGAGGAGGAGGAGGAGGAGGAGGAACAGGAGGAGGAGGAGGAGAGCAGGAGGAGGAACAGGAGGAGGAGGAGGAGGAGGAGGAGGAGGAGAGGAGGGGGAGGAGGGAGGCGGAGGAGGAGGAGGAGGAGGAGGCGGAGGAGAGGAGGAGGAGGAGGAGAGGAGGAGGAGGAGAAGAAGCAGGAGGAGGAGGAGGAGGAGGAGGTCAAGTCCCGGTCGTCCTCCTCCCGCTCCCCCCCAAACCAGGAGCCATGGGGGCGCAGCAGAGTCTCGGCCTCTGCTCGGTGGAGCAGCCCTGCGGGGTGGCGATCGACAACCCCAACAGGCCGAGGAGCGGGCCAGAGCCGCACGGGCGTCAGGGCCAGCGTGTCCTCCTCCTCCTCCTCCTCCTCCTCCTCCTCTCCTCCTCCTCCTCCTCCTCCTCTCCTCCTCCCTCCTCCTCCTCCTCCTCTCCTCCTCCTCCTCCTCCTCCTCCTCCTCCTCCTCCTCCCTCCTCCTGATACTCCTCCCTCCTCCTCCTCCTCCTCCTCCTCCTCCTCCTCCTCCTCCTCCTCCTACTCCTCCTCCTCCTCCTCCTCCTAAAGCCCTCCGTCGCCCAGCGAAGGAAGGGAAGGAGGATGAGGGCCAGAGCCGCACGGGCGTCAGGGCCAGCGTTTGGGAAACGAACAATGGCATAAACATAAAAACTCTGAGGTCCACGCGGATTTCTCGGATCGGCGCTGGACCCCCCTCCCTGGCGCGCGGAGCGCGCCAGGGGCCGCGCTGGAGGCGCCGCCATGGGGGTCCAGCGCCGATCCGAGAAATTTGCGCGGACCTCCGAGTTCTTATGTTTATGTCATTGTTCGTTCCCCTAAGCGTGTCACAAAGCCCTCCCGCCGCCCAGCGAAGGAAGGGAAGGAGGATGGGGACGACGGCGACGGCAGCGGTGACAACGGGGAGGGAGGCGTGAGGGGGAGGAGGAGGGGCTGCATTGCTTCTGCGGAGGCGGCGGCGCTCTTTCCTCCACCCCGTCCTCCCCGCTCCGCCCCCCCGTGGGGTCGAGAAGCCACTCGGGAGTGGCGGATGGAAAACGGAGCTGACCAAGGGAGGGGAGAGCGGTGCACAATGCGTCGCTGTAGAGACGAGAGAGGATGTGATAGTGAGGAGGCAGAGAGAGAGAGAGGGAGGGAGGGAGGGAAGGAAGGAGGGAGGGATGAGAGATTCCCCCCGCCAAAACAGCGCAACGAACATCTTGAAAAACTGCTGTACGCCTGAGGCGAGCCAGACAGCTCCAGACAGGTGGATGGCCAAAATGGCCTAGGACTGGATGGAGCGTACGTAAGGAAAGGCAGGAGGATGGAGACTGTGTGAGGGATGCACTCCGTAGCCTTGGCTGAAGCCTATGTTCTCGAGCGGCGGTCAGCAATTTTGACTCAGCGTGTCGCTCCGCCAGTTCTGGTCCACCACGCTGCGGCGCGACACGCTATCCATTTCCCAGTCCCCAGGCGTCAACGTCGCGAGCCTTTCCCGACCTCCCGCCCCGCAGAGCGGAACGACACGCTGTACACCCGCAAGGCACAGCGCGTCGCCGGGCGCGCCGCCGCGACACGCGAAACCAAAGTTCCCGACCGCAGTACCGCCAGGCGCTCCAGGAGAAGGAGGAGCAGGAGGAGGAGGAGGAAGAGGACGAGGAGGAGGAGGAGAGAGGAGGAGGAAAAGGAGGAGGAGGAGGAGGAGGAGGAGAAGGAGGAGGAGGAGGAGGAGCAGGTCCCCCAGCTTGCGCACACGATCATGGAGCAGCCCGCGCTGGCGTGCCCGAGGGGCCCTGGCGCCGAGAGCCGTGCCCGGCACGGGCACGGCGTGGCGGGCCAGCGCAGTCCGGGCCGCAGCCAACGCCGGTTGCTCGAGAGGCTGAGCAGGTGGCCGCAGCGGAAGGTGGCGCACGCCAGCAGAGCGGCGGCTTCACACTGTGTGTGCGACTGGTGTGTGACAGCTGCGCGGCTGTGTGTGTGACGGGTGCGTGCCTGTGCGTGTGACTGTGTATGCGTATGCGTGTGTGTGTGGTGTGATGTGGTGCGTGTGTGATGTGTGTGTGTGTGTCTACACGTTCTGCCCCGCCGCCACGCTGCGCGCGTGGCCGCGGCGCCAAACAAGTGCGTGTGTGTGCATTTGCGTGCCCGTGCGTGTGCGCGTGTGTCTTCCGATGGACCGGCCGCGCGCGCTGTTGGCTCGCACTCTGACCGGCTGCTTCCGCTTCTTTATCGTTGCGCGGCCGTCTCCGCTTCACCGTTGCGCGCAAGGCCGCGATCGCTATCGTGCGTGCGTGCGTGTGTATGCGTGTGTGTGTGTGTGTGTGTTTGTGTGTTTGTGTGTTTGTGTGTTTGTCTCTCTGTTTGCTTGTGTGCTTGCGTGTTTGTGTGTCTGTGTCTTACCTGAGCAGGCCGAAAGAGCCAGGCCCGCTGTGGCGCTCGAGCGTCTCTCCTCTTCTTCCTCGTCGTTGTCCTCTCCCTCCTCTCCGTCCTTCCTCCCTCGTCTTCCTCTTCGCCCGCCCCTGGTTTGTGCTTCCCTACTCGTCCCCGTGTGTTGTGTCTGTCGGTAGCGCAACGCCTCCCCCGTAAAATCATAGCTTGGGCTGCAGGTCCAAGGCTCCGTGGATCCATTTCCCCTTGGGCCCCTTGTAGTGATTATTATTATTATTCTTATTATTATTTTAAACTTATTCCGGGCATAGAAATTGTATATACGAAGCTTCCACCCCAAAAAGTTGGATCCAGAAGACACGGAAGTTGGATCCACGTGACGCTCGCGCACACATAATTGGATCCAAATGGATCCATGCGTTCCCATGCAAGAGGAAACAACTTTCGGCCTGGGGATGTATGTGTGGTTGCTTGTGTTTGTTCGTGTGTGGTTGTGTATGTGTGCTGATGTGTGTGTGTGTGCTCGTGTGTGTTTTTCGCGTATATATGTATATTTGTGTGTGTTTGTGTTTGTGTGGTTGTGTGTTTGTGTGGTTGTGTGTGTTTGTGTGTTTGTGTGTGTGTGTGCGTGTGTGTCTGTTTGTCTGTTGGTGGCGCCGCTCCCCTCTCTCTACCCTGCCGCCCTGCACGGGGACGCCCCGGCCACCGCCCCCAGGAGCTGCCCTGGAGGTGTGCTCGGCCCCCCGGGCTCCCCCCCCAGAGGGGACGCTTCCGCCAGCTCCGCCGCCGCTCCCGCCTGCCCGCTCTCTCGGCGGTGGCCCCTCGCACCACGCCCTGGATCCGCCCTGCAGGGCCTCGCCGCCAACACCTGGGGCGACGCCAGCGACGCCCAACTGCAACGGTGCATGGCGGGCCAGATTCCCCCTGCAGCGCCAGGGGAGCAGTCTTTCTGACCAGGGCTGGTTGGCGGATATGGACAATCTCCCATCCCAAAGGCGGACCCGTGATCCCTGGGACCACCATCCTTTCGCCCGCACCTCACGGCTGGTTCGCGCCGTGTCGACCCGCGGCGTACCCCGCCGCCGGCGTTCAAGGTTGAACGCCGCCAGCGGCCCAGAATCGGTCGATGTTGAGGGGTCTGACGCTTCTCACACGGCCGATCTTTCAAGGCTGAACGATCCCCGCTGTATCAGAAACCAGCGCCGAAGTCGGCACGGCACGAACCTGTCGTACTCAGCCACGGAGCTGGAGGAGTTCCTCGATTCTCTTGCCTCCTCGGCTATGGTTAAGTCGGGCTTGTCCCTCTACAGGAGGGATATTCAAAAACAGTTAAAAGATAGTCTGGGGACGATGTTTGCATTATTTTTTTATAATTTGGGGGGGCATGTTTCAGATATTTTTCATTTTTCGCCCAAAATCCCCCTGTAGGGGGACAGGCCCGACCTCAGGCTATGGATGGGGGGCCCTCCCGCTGCGGAGGCCCCCTGCGGCCCGCGCGCCCCGCCGGCGCAGTCGCTCCCCCCGGCCAGGAAGCGGCGCCTGCCTCGCGCCAGGTCCAACAGTGGGAGTGAGCCCTCGTATGGGGCCTGTGAGGAGGGAGCTCGGAGGAAGGGCGTAGTCCAACATCGATGATGAGTCTTGGGCTTCCCCTGGTCCTCCTCCTCCTCCTCCTCCTCCTCCTCCTCCTCCCCTCCTCCTCCTCCTCCTCCTCCTCCCTCCTCCTCCTCCTCCTCCTCCTCCTCCTCCTCCTCCTCTCCTCCTCCTCCTCCTCCTCCTCCTCCTCCTCCTCCTCCTCCTCCTCCTCCTCCTCCTCCTCTCGGCACGAACGGAATGGGTACGGAAAGAATGGGTACGATGCCCAGCAGCAGTTCCTGCTCATTCTGAACAGGACTCGCTGTCGGTGTCGCCGCGGCCTGGGTCCATTTGGGACAGAAGGCCGCCCGCCCAACGGCGGCCGCCGCTGGTTTGGGACAACAGTTGTGGTTGGGCAGCGTACCCATTCTTGGGACAACATCTGTTGTTGGGCAGGGGGCGCGCGGCGGGCGCGGGGCGTCCGTCCCTGGCATCGCTCGGACGTGTGCATTTTCTCTCGGCGGGGACCCTCGAGGACCACCCTGGACCATCGAGCCCAAGAAAAACACGCACGAGACCGAAAAACGCACGGGACATGGACGTCCGAGCGATCCCAAGCTACAGGGAGGTCTACTACAGGGACAACATTTGTGGTTGGGCATTGTACCCATTCTTTCCGTGCCCATTTCGGGCGCTCCACGGACCAAATGTGCGCTCGCGCGTCCCTCCAGGCCCCGCTCGGCCTGCTCCGCCCTCCTCCTCCTCCTCCTCCTCATCCGCCTCCTCCTCCTCCTCCGCCTCCTCCTCCTCCTCCTCCTCCTCCTCCTCCTCCTCCTCCTCCTCCTCCTCCTCCTCCTGAGGACGAAGCTGCCAACCCTCGTCAGAATTAGCCTCAGAGATTCAGAAAGGGGAAAAAAAAAAACACAGACACAATTAGTGGTCGATTCCCCAGAAAATATTGGAAAATAGGGGAAGTGGGAGGGAAGACGAAAACCCAGAAAATATGGGAAAATATGGGTAATCCTTTTATTTGTGTGTATTTATTTGTGTGTCCTGGGGCCCCTTCAAAGGTGTATCACGCGTCCGAACCTCGGTTGCCTCGGTACAACCGTTTTGAAGCGCAACACGCCCCGTGTTCGAGACGTCCGTGTCAACACGTTGCGTGTCGGCTCCACGTCCTGGACCACGTTTCGGCGAACGTGCGCGTCGGAGCCACGTCTTCAGCCTACGTGTTGAGCTCCGTATCTATACGATGCGTGTTGCGTGCTGCGTATCGGGGCAGCTAAAGGTCCGAACTGTTTGTGGGGAGATACTGGACAGAGTAGCGGTGACTGCGAGGTACTTGTAGGCGCCGCCCCTCCAATGTCGGTCATCCTCGAGCTTCCGAGTCGTTCCCAGTCAGGCCACTTTTGCCCTGGCCCCGACATTGGAGGGGCGTCTATCGACATTGAAGGGCGCGCCGACGTCGCAGGGGCGTGCTCGCCATCTTTGAAGTTAATTTTGACGAGGGTAGTAGGACGAGGATCAAATCGGGTGAAGATACCCATCGGTCGTTGAAGTAGGTTTCTGGATTTCCATCTTCCAACATGTTTTGAGCGCCTTCCTACTCCAGTGATCGAGTGGCTTCACCCTTTCCGTCCTCCCAAGGGGCGGACGGAACCCAATCTACTTTCAACGCCTTCCTGCTCCATGTTTCTACCGACCTCTTTCGACCGATGGGTACATCGAGAATCTCTGAGATCCGGCGGTTCTGGAGGGTGAGGAGGGTGTCTCGGGCGCCGCGGCCTTCTCAGAGCGTTCTGGAGCGCCCTGGAACGGAGGAATCCTCGCCCTGGCCCCGTCCTACCCTCGGTGCGGGTAATTACACCGGGGGTCCCCAGATGGCTGGATGTGTGATATCATAACAGCGGCTGGCGCGCTCGGGTTTGGCCCCCCCCCCCCCCCCCCGCGCGCCCCCCGAAAGTCGCGCGCCGGAGGCCACTCTTGCCTTTGGGTCACGCTCGCGTGTGGCCGATCTGCCGGGTCGGCAGCCGGCTCCTCGGCCGCGGCCGCAGCCTCGAGCGCGCTCGCTGCCGGCGGGGGGCTCTTGGGTGCCCAGAGAGGCACGACGAGGGGCAGCGCGGGCTGTCCCTCACCTCTGAGACTCCGATCGGGGGTGGACAGAACCCCCAACAGTGACACGTCGATCAGTGAATTGTCCGTTTTCGGTTCTCGAGATGGCGCCGTGGCCGTTATTTTCCAGGCTTGCGCCCGCCAGGTTTGGGCCCGAGGTCGTTTTCACTAAACCACGTTTTACTAAAGGGAGGTCTGTCCATCCCCGATCCGAGGTGGGGTCGGAGCAAATGCGGTCGGAGGATCGCGCCGCATGGCCGATGCATCGCCGATTCGGCCCGATGTGGAGCCCGAGTTTCTCCGCGCTGGCGTCGCCTCTCCACGCTGGCGTCGCCAATGCACCGCCGACGTCGCTGATGCATCGCCGATGTATCGGGGATGCATCAACGACGCTCTTTCGACCCCAGCTGCTCCGACCCCATCTGGGAGGCCTCTTGCCTCCAGCCAAAGGAGGCGAGCTCCCCAAAGCCAGCCCCTCTCTTTCCCAGACGTGGCCCAGATACGCCCGCGCGTCGCGTGAGGCAGCACATCGCAACGCCGTCGCGAACGAGAGGCACCAGTTGGGCGCAGGAGAAAGAGGATGAGGAGAAGGAGGAGGAGGGGAGGAAGAGGAGGCAAGAGACGATGCAGAGGCGGCCCGGAGCAGATCGGAGCCCATGAAAAGGAGGAGGCGGAGGCAGAGAAAAGGGCAGAGGAGGACCAGAGCGGGGTGGAGGAGGAGGAGAAGGACGACGACGACGATGCGCAGGAGCAGGCGGCGGCGGTCACTCAACGCGCGCGCGCCTAGCGAAGGAAAATGGACATGAGCGACATGCAGTCGCTGCAGGCGCCCGTCACCCGGCCCCTCCGCGGCGGAGCGCGGGGCACCACCGAGTCGTCGCCGTCGTCGTCGTCGTCGTCGTCGTCGTCGTCGTCGTCGTCGTCGTCGTCGTCGTCGTCGTCGTCGTCGTCGTCGTCGTCGTCGTCGTCGTCGTCGTCCGCTGCGGCGGCGGCGGCGGCGGGGGGCACCTCGCCCGTTTTTGCCTCTGCCGCTGCTCGCAGCGTCGTTGCCCACCCCTGCTCGAACTCCTCGGCCTCATCCTTCCCCTCCCCTTCCCTGAGATCCTCGCGACTCGGTTATTTCGTGCCCGGGGGCCCTCGCAGACCCGTCTGGCTCGACAGGTGACGCAGACAGATGGGGTCGGGGGCTCTGGGCATGATTTTTTACGATGCTGCGGTGTTGTCGCCACGTCGGATCTCAGGGTCCTCCTCTTCCCGCCTCCTGCTCCTCCCCCCAGGCTCGCCTCCTCCCGCTTCCCCTTCCCCTCCCCCCCCCCCCGCCCGTGGCTCGCTGCAGCCCGAGGCGGCGCCGTGGTGCGAGGAGGGCGTTGACCCGCCCGGGGATCCGAGAATTTGGCGGCCTCCTCCTCCTCCTCCTCCTCCTCCTCCTCCTCCTCCTCCTCCTCCTCCTCCTTTGGAGCCCCATCCGCCGAGGCCCCTGCTGCCGCTGCCCTCCCAGGTCGTCCACTTTTCGCTGGCAGTCTGGCGGTGAGCGGGTGGTGCCCGAGGAACTGCTCTCGCCGTTCCGTGCCTGTCGTGGTCTGCATGGCGCAGTGCTTCGCGCGCCCCGCCTAGCTCTTAACCGGAAGAGGCCCGCTCTCGACCCGCCGACCAAAAAAAAAAGTTTTGCATGGCGCCTCATTGCTTCATAGCAGCGCCTCCGGCAGCGGTTCCTGTTTCCCCGCGTTGCCAATGCACCTTTGCCGTGCACGGCTTCTCTCTCTCTCTCTCTTTCTTCCTCTCTCCCGCCGGGGGGCCGTGTCGCGCGAGGGCCGCAGCGCGCGCGAAGGGTGGCCGCTTCGAGGGTGGGCCGGGCGGAGCTGTCGCGACTGCACAGGCGGCACCCACCAGGTGCTGAGCACCCACCAGGCGCCCACCATCGAAGAAGAAGAAGAAGCGATATAAACAGAAACTTTTGGCGCTCCACGCGGATTTCTTGGATCCGCGCTGGGCCTTCCCAGCGGCGCCTCCGGCGCCACCCCTGGCGCGCTCCGCGCGCCAGGGAGGGGGCCCAGCGCAGATCCAAGAAGTCCGCGCGGAGCGCCAAAAGTTTATGTTTATGCCGCTTTGTTCTTCTCCTACACCAGGTTCTGAGCACCGCCTTCACGATTTCGCTGCACCTTCGGCTTCGCGCTCGCGCAGATTGGCATCCCGGGCGCCTCGCAGCACGGCACCGCCCGCCCTCCCAGCAGTTTTGTTTTGTTCGGCTGTAGGTCGACGAGCGCCATTGCGACGGCCCCCGAGCCCATGCGACCTCCCGAAGTCCCGGCGTCGCCTCTGGCCGCGGACGTTTTGCCCAGGGCCACCGCGAGCTCTCGGTGGCCTCCAGAGTCGCGAAGCTGCTGGCTAGGTTTAGGTCGGGCCTGTCCCTCTACAGGAGGAATATTCATAAATAGTCAAAAAATAGTCTGGGGAATATGTCTTGATTATTGTTTCACTATTTGGGCGTCTTGTTTTGAGTATTTTTCATTTTCCGGTCAAATTCCGCTTGCAGGGGGACACGCCTGACCTAAGGCCGTAGGTTTAACTCGGGCGCGTCCCTCTACAGGAGGAATATTCAAAAATAGTTACAAAAATAATCGGGGGACGATGTTCCAACTAATTTATAACTATGTTGAATCTGTGTTGGCCATTTGTTCGTCCGAAATCCGGCTGTAGGAGGACGCGCCCGACCTAAGGCTGCACCCTAGGCGATGCTTAAGAAAACTTATATGTTCGGCCAGAGTCTCGATTATTCTTAACGTTTCAATGTAGATCAAGAGGTTTCGATAGACATGTCTGGGTTCTTCTTCAAATTCTGAGACTATGAGTTTCTTAACCCATGATTCCTCAGGCATTTCGCAGGGTGTAGGTGGCCTGATGGGAGCGGGCATGTGCCCGAGCGCCCAGAGCACCTCGAGTAGCCTGAGGCTCTCAGGATGTCTCCGGCGACTTCGCGGATGGCCGGGTGGCTCTCACAGCGCGTCGCGTGGTGCGCCCATTCTTGCGCAGTGGCACGGCGGAGTGCTTGGCACAGGCGTGTACTAATAGCACTCCCACATGCACTGCGAGGCCAACTCGCACTTGTCAGTGCCCTTCCCTCCCGCGCCCACGCCTGCCCCCCGTCCGCAGGCAGATCGGATCAACGCGTGGACAAAGGACCTGGGCCCAGGCTCGGTGCAGTGCGGCCAGGCGGGGCCCATGCCGCGCGCGCCGCTCCTCTTGCGCCGACGGCCACTCGCGCGTGTCGCATGCATCCCACCCTCACTTCTCTCGCTCGGAATCGATCGAGATCCTTGGGTCTTTGGGCCTCGGCTGCGTTCAGCTCTTGCTTGCGACCGACATCCTGCTGCAGCCACGGTTCAGGAGGGAAAAAACACACAGACACAATTAATTTTCGATTCCCCAGAAAATGTGGAAAAATATGGGAAGTGGGGGGGAAGACAGAAACCCAGAACATATGGGAAAATGTGGGGAATAGTGTTATTTGTGTGTATTTGTTTGTGTGCCCCAGGGCCCCTTCAAGGGTGGCAGACTGGCCCGACGTGCGCGATGCAGTGTGGTAGGATCCCCGTGTCCCGTGTCCTGCCAGGCGTGGCCACAAAAGGCCCCCAATTGGGGCTTTCGAGATCCAGGACTGAATGCGGCAGCGCGGGGAGGCCCAGCGTCGTCCAGGTCTGTCATCAGGAGGAAAAGAAACACACAGACACAATTCATCCTCGATCCCCCCGAAAATGTGGACAAATATGGGAAGTGGGGGGGGAAGACAGAAACCCAGAAAGTATAGGAAACTATGGGGAATAGTTTTATCTGTGTGTATTGAGGTGTGTGTGTGTGTGTGTGTGTGTGTGTGTCCTGGGGCCCCTTCATCTGTGAGGTCGGGGGCACCTCGAGGCCAGGAAGCGCCCATCCGGGTGTTTTTTGCTGCCCTGCCCGCGGGGAGCCAGGCAGCGAGGGCCTGCCTGGATCGGGTGCGCGACGCGCACCGACTGTTGATCGATGCGGCACAGCACAAGACTGTCCACGAAGCCAGAAGGCAGTGTTCAGATATGAGTGTTCCTTTTCGGGGCGTGCTTAATTAATGTGATGCACCCTGCCGTCTGCGATCATCATCAACGCATGGCGTGCAAAAAGAGCACGACACGTTCTGGTCACATCATACGGGGGGGGCGCTGATTAAGGGATGTGCCCAGGAGGCTGCAGACCCTGGAGGAGTCCTCATTTGATGAGGGCGGCGGTGATGTCCATGGCCGAGCCTCAATTGGAGTTCCACAGGCCTCCAGACCCTGGATTCCTTGTCTAAGGGCTCCTTATCCAATGCCCCCACCGTGTCGAGTCCATGCCTGCACGGCAGGGGAAGGGAGAGGGACACCTGCCAGGGGCGCCACGTGAGGACACCAGGCGCACCCCGCCGTGCGGGGGGGGGCAGGGCCACTGCAGGACTGGCGAGGAGGCAAACAGCGGAAGCAAGCACGAGCACACGCGTGCGCTGTGAGAACCACAGCGCACGTCTGTGCACTGTGCACCGCGATAACCACAGCGCACTGTGCCAATGACACAGCACGCTGTGATTCAGAACTCACTGTGCGAGTCTGAATCGGCGGCGGGCCCAAGGGGGGGGAAGGGAAGTGAGCAGGGAGCGGGCCTCCTCGGAGGGCTCCGAGGGGTCCCCCTCGGCGGCCTGCCGAGAGCAGCTTGCGGAGCCGTCCCCGGAGGCACGGCCGCAACCGCGCCCCCCTCGGGCAGGCCAAAGAAGCCGGGACGGATCGTGCCAGAGCGCCCCTGCAACGGCCGAGGCCACCCCCCCCCTACGGCAGGGGGAAACCAACTGGTGGACACTCCCCCTCCTCCTCCTCCTCCTCCTCCTCCTCCTCCTCCTCCTCCTCCTCCTCCTCCTCCTCCTCCTCCTCCTCCTCCTCCTCCTCCTCCTCCTCCTTCCCCTGTACGCTGTCTCCTCCTCCTCCTCCTCCTCTCCTCCTCCTCCATTTCCTCCTACTCCTCCTCCATTTCCTCCTCCTCCTCCTCCTCCTCCTCCTCCTCCTCCTCCTCCTCCTCCTCCTTCGCCCCATCCTCCTCTCCGCCTCCCCTCCTCCTTCCTCCTCCTCCTCCTCCTCCTCCTCCTCCTCCTCCCTCCTCCTTCGCCCCCTCCTCCTCCTCCTCCTCATCATCATCATCACCACCATCATCAGCATCATCATCATCATCATCATCATCATCATCATCATCCTCATCCTCATCCTCATCCTCATCCTCATCCTCAACCCCCTCCTCCTCCTCCCCCGCTCCCCCAAGCGCAAAGTTGGCACGCGAGAGGGAGACTGCGGTCGAAGTGGAACTCATCGGACCCACCGCTAGCTTTGAACCTTGGGGGGAGGGATGGGGGGCGTTGACCGATGCATGTGGCATGCGTGTTCGCTATGTCTGTTCCGAGGCCTGTATGTACATGTCCAGGCCTGCCAGCTCTCAGAATCGCTGTAGATTCACTCGGCGGCGAGCCCGGGGGCGGGAGTGAGAAGGGGTGGGCTTTCTCAGAAGGCTCGGACGTCCCCCCGGCCTTCTGAGAAGTTTTCGAAGCCCAGAAGGCGCGAGGGCTTCTGAGAAGTCCCGCCGCCTTCTGAGAAGGCCCTCTCCTTCTCACTTCTCCCCTCGCTCGCCGCCGATTTATCCCTGCCAGATGTTGTCCTCTTCCCGTCGTCTTACACAGCAGACATCAGGAGGGGAGACACGCACACACACACACACACACACACACACAAACACACAAGCACAAAGAAGCGTCGACGTCAAGGAAATATGGGAAGACATGGGGAGTGGTGGAGGAGAGACGGACACCCAGAGAGTGCGGCACACAAAACGTGGGGAATCCTGGGAGCTGTGCCTTGCTTGCCTCCTCTGTGTGTCCCCGGGCCCCCCTTCGAGACGTCGCCCCGGCCCGTGCCCTGCCTGCGCGAGCGCCCGTGGGCCCCCCGAGGTCAAGGCGGCCCTGACCTGCGACACGCCCACGGCCGCGCCGGAGGGCTACCTGGCGGACACGCAGGAGGGCGCGGCGGCCCTCCTCCCCCCCCCCACGCGGGGGGGGGGGGGGGCGCGGCCGTGCGGCTCTCCCCCCTGTGGCCCTGCAGCACGCCTGCCGCATGCCTCCCCCTCCTCTCCTCCTCTCCTCCCCTCCTCCTCCTCCTCCTCCTCCTCCTCCTCCTCCTCCTCCTCCTCCTCCTCCCCCTCCTCCTCCTCCTCCTCCTCCTCCTCCTCCTCCTCCTCCTCCTCCTCCTCCCCCTCCTCCTCGAGCATCGTGGTGCCCTCGAGCACGCAGGCTGCGCGCCGGGAGGATGGCGCTGGGAGAGGCGAGGAGGTCGTGGCCAATGGGCGGTCGGAGATATCGTGGACTGCATCCGGAGGCTATTATTGCTCGCACCCGTCATGCTCCCAGCCCCGTCCTCCCAACACGATAGTTATTCTCCTCCATAAGTCGGGCCGGGGGAAAGGGGGGGATTGGGAAAGGGGGGGGTACGAAATTTGCTGCATGCAGCTGGTTTCGGCTTCACCGAGGGGCCCATTCCTCGATACATAGCCGCCTCCGGCGCCGGGAGGCGCCGGGAAAATCAGCTACGTGAGCTGATTCTCAAACCCCCCCTTTGTTATCCCCCCCTTTCGCCCGACCCGAATAAGGGCCATGAGGAGATCCGGTGGCGGGGCGATTTCGCGCATGTTGCTCTGCGTCGTCCAGACCCTGCCCTCCTCCTGCATGTGCGTGTTCGGCCAGTGTGTTCGGCATCGGCATGGTCACCGCAGCGCCGCAGCGCGCATGCTTTCGTTGTCTGCGTTTATGCTTGCACTCGACGACTGTGCCGTCGCCGTGGGGAGCAGAACAGGGCCAGTAGAGCTCGATGCACTTCACGAGTGAGCGCCTATTCCCGCAACGACAAGAGAGTCGGCCTTGAAGCATAGAGCCCAGGGACCAGCCTGACCCGTGACCAGTATCATTCTAGCCTGGAAGCCTGAACCGAGGCCAGGCCACCCACTGGCCAACCAGGATGCTAGCGGATGGACGGGGACGCTCTCAGCTCCGAGAGGTGGCGCGCCAAGAGGGCCTTGTCGCCACGTTCCTTCGGCAACTTGGGCATGTCGGGGAGGCCGACGAGTGCCGATGGCAGAGCCAGAGATGTTGCCCAGCTGGGACGGCCCAGTGCACCCGCACGGGCCGTTCTGCCGCGCACCACTGCGCGGCCAGCTGGTAATTACGCCCGAGAGTGCCCGGAGGTCTCGAGGCCCGGGCGACCGGAGAGCAGGAGGCTACCCGGGGCGGCCGGGCGAGGAGGGTGGCCGACGCCCGCGAGGGCCCCGTGTGCGTTTGACCCACCGCCGCCATGCAGAGGCCAGGGTGAGGAAGGGAGGGGGGAGGGGACAGATGGGAAAAAGGGGAGACGAGGAGGAGGAGGAGGAGGAGGAGGAGGAGGAGGAAAGGGAGGAGGGGGAGCGACCAGGGAGGTGCCACCGATTCGGCGTCCTGTCGCGAGGCGTGACGTTTCCAACTGCCCGCAGGTTGTGGGTATTGCTGTCAGGCTAGATACTGGGAAGCACCACTGGGAGGTGGGTGACAGTCAAAATGAGTCACACACGCAGGCGTCTGGCGTCCAGAACAGAGCACAACGGCTCACAGAGCACGCCACGGCGTTCAATATTTCCGAATGCCGGGTCGAGGTTCTCCAGCCCCGCATTTTGAGTCTCTTTCTTGAAGTTCCCCTTGGGTGGCGCTGCGTTGTGGAAAAACAGTGTTGACTCGCCTTGTTCCGTCCGTGCTCGTCCCACAGCCTCTCTTCCGTTGCATTCCCATGCTTATCCATCATTTCCCTTCTCCCTCTCCCCTGCATCCCTGTCATCCTGACTTCCTCTGCTTTTCCTTGATGTTCCCCCTCCAGTCCCTCCTTCCCCCTGCCTCTCCGCAACAGAGGCTTTCCAGGACGCCGCCCAAAGCTCCCCCAGGGTCGCCTCCGACGGGGCCTCCGCGGCAGATCTCTGGCTCGCCCCGTTCTGGCCCCCAGACACCACCTTTTGCAGCCCGCCGCCCTGGAGAGATGAGCTCGGGCGAGGTCATGGCTGCCCCCCAGAGGCAGGAACCGCAGGACGCCTGGACGACGCCGCCCAGCACGCCGCGGCCAGCCGCCGCAGCCCCGGCCACGCCGCCGCCGTTGCGGCGCGCGGGTGCCGAGCCATTGCTGCTGGGCCTGGAGCGGAACTGCCCGCGGCGCGTGCGCGGCGCCCTCTCGGCAGACCCAGGGGCGGCCAGGTCGCCGTTCTGGGAGCGCCGCTTCGAGTGGCCGCTCTGCGCTGCGCTCCGCCTGGGGTGTAGCGAAGATCTCGGGTCGGGCAGAAGGTCAGAGGAGGAGAGGGTACCCATGCCGCTGCTCGTCCCAGAGAGCCCTCGAGGCCACAGCCGGATTCTCCTCAGAATGCCGGTCCGAACGCACCCCGGGAGAGGTCTGGAGAGCAGCGGCATCGGCACTGTTTCTTACCCCTGGAAAGGGAGGGGGGAGCGGGGGGTACGAAAGGTGCTGCGTGCAGCTGGTTTCGACCCTGGCGCTGGGCGTGTTCCTCTATATACAGTTGCACTTCCGGCGCCGGGGAAAGCAGCTACGTGAGCTGATTCGCTAGACCATCCTTCGCTATATCCTCCCTTTGGTCCGACCCGACAGGAGATCATCAGGCTTCTGACCGAGCACGGTGCGAAGGTCGATGTGACGGACAACGTTGGGCAGTCGCCGCTCCAGCTTCTGAGCTCAGGGGTAGAGGCCAACATCACCGGTGCCCACACCAACGACATGCGGGAGCTTCCTGGCTCCGAGGAGTGGGCGAAACAGTTCGAGCTCGGCGTGGCCACAGCCCTGCTGATCGCGGGCGCGGATCCAGAGGCGTGCCCTGGCGACCCCGGCAGAGGACATCATTCAAGCTTGCAGCTCGCCCGGCGCGCCAGGAAAGGCCACCTGGTCGGCTTGTACGAGGCCCATGGGCATCAGCTGACGGCCTGAGCGAGCCCAGGGGCGAGCACGGGAGCCGTTGGCGCTTTTGATTTCATATTTTCTGTGGAGATATCGTTGGCCGATTAGGTCTCGGGGGATATGTCCAACACACCCACACTCGGCACGCACGAAATGGGTATTTGAAAGCATGGGTACGAAGACCGATAGCAGGCCCTGTTCATGTTCAACAAGGCTCGCTATCGGTGCCGCCGCGGACGTAGTCCATCTGAGGCAGAAGATCGCCGTTCCGACAGCGGCCACTGTCGGGTTTTGAAGATTTGTTGTTTGGCATCGTACCCATTCTTCCGCACGGTAGTTTCGCGTCGTGTCGACCAGCAGCAACCCCGCCGCCGGCGTTCAACCTTGAACGCCGCCAGCGACCCAGAATCGGTCGATGTTGAACGGCAGGACGTTTCGGAAACGGCCCGATCGTGCAAGGTTGAACGATCCCCGCTGTGTCAGAAACCACTGCCGGGGTCGTCACGACACGAGCCTGCCGTACCCAGTTCAGGCGCCCAAACACACGCTCACAACCCGTTGCCTCAGAGGCCGCCCGGGCGCCCAGTTTTCGGCCGAAAGGCGCTGGCGCTGGCAGTCCGGCTCCGCCTGCTCGGCCCTGGCGCAGAGTGCCCCCCGGCCCTGCGCGCCGTCCTGACGTTCCCGGAGCCCTCCATGGCCTCGTGGGGGCTTCGAGCCGGCAAGGGGTCTGGGGTGGCCCAGCACTGGTTCCCGCCAGCAGCAGGGGGGGGGGAGGAGAGTATCCCTGACCTTCGAGAGAGCTATTTTTTACCACTGGAGACCTAAAAACCTAAAAAACTCAACGAAACAGCCTAAAACCAAGACGTAGAATAGCTCTGGGATAGGTTTTTAGGTCGGGTGCTATTTTTTAGCCCTCCTGGAAGGTCAGGGATAGAGGTCCTGGGTTCGACACGGTTGTTTTGTAGCTTTTTCTGCCTCAAGGGGGCCGTTTTCGGGCCGTGGGACCGTCAAGGACGGATCCGGGGTGGAACATTGCACCGGATGGACTCAGGGAGGAGTCCGGGGATTTGTTTCGAGCGGATTTGGCTTTGTCCCCCCATCCTGACAGTTTTTCTTGGGGTCCATCCAACCATCCAGCTCAGACCCTCGGCCACGCGCAGAGGGGGGTAGGGGGAGAGGGGGAGGCTTCTTAGAAGCACCCTTGCTCCTTAGAAGGCGCGGGCCTTCTCTATACATGTAAGGCGGGCGCCTTCGAAGAAGCAGCCCCCTTCTAAGAAGCCTTCCACCCTCCCCCTACCCCCCTCTGTGCGCCGCCAAGACCCTTTGGCCTCCAACTCTGGAGGCCATGTGCAACGAGCGACGAACACAGCCATGTCCGTGCCCTCGCGGCCCAGACACCGAGGCGCGCATCCACCATGGATACGCCATCCTTAGCATCCCGCGGATGCGGTGTGCGTGGGGCACCCGCACAAACATCCGACCTCCACGTGGGCGGTTTTTATTCATTGTTCTCCCGATCGGCGCCGGTCGCACACACCCCCCTCCCCCCCCGCCATGAAGTAGATCGTGGCTGTGTCTGGGCGCCTGTTTCGAGCAGGCGGGGTCCCTCTCCCCCAGCGGCCGCACTGCTGCAAACAGTCGCACTGAGCAAAGGTCCGCAGCTAGACGCCCCCCCCTCCCCCCCTTTCCGTCCAATGTCGAAACGCCGAATAAGAAAACGCTCTCTATCCATAGGGTCGCGGCCGAGAAGTCTGGACCGCGAGGCCGTACGGTAGGTTCGTGCGGCGTTGGCGCGCCGGCGACGCCGGCGAAGGCGTGAAAGGTTGAATTCTGCGACGCGGAAGCACCGATGGGCACGGTAATGCCATTGGACCCGGCTGGACTCAACCTTGAACAATCGGGGCCGCGATCGATTCAAGGTTGAACGATCGACGCGGTGTCCAAAACCTTTGCGCGCGCCGACGCCGCACGAACCTATTGTATTTGTGTGTGTGTGGATGCGTTTCCCGCTCAGGCTCTGGGGGCCTCCCTGGGCGCCCGTGGCCCTCCAGCCTTGGGCACCCCCCGCGCGCGCAAGCTCAGATTGGCCCCGTGTCCGGGCTCGCTGCATGACTTGTGGAGCTCTGGCGCCTGCGGCGGGCTTCTCGCAGACAGCCGACGTCCCCCCCGCCCCCTTCACTCTTATCCTCGGCATCGCTCGGACGTGTGCATCTTTCCCTCGGCGAGGACCATCGAGGAGCATCCTTGATCATTCGGCGAAAAAACCACGCACGAAACCGAAAAAAACACAGGGAATGGACGTCCGAGCGATGGCCAGTATCCGCATTTGCAGGGTGCTGTATAAGATATGTGTTGCTTCGGGTTCACGGTCGGGGGGTCTGTCTCCTCAGGTGCAGACCAGGCCCCCCGCGGCGGGAGGGTTGGCACCGACTCCTCCTGAGGCTCGTGGATCCTCCTCCTCCTCCTCCTCCTCCTCCTCCTCCTCCTCCTCCTCCTCCCCCTCCTCCTCCTCCTCCTTCTCCTCTTCCTCCCCCTCCCCCTCAGTGGCCATTTTGGCCCAAGCCAAGATGATCTTGTCCTTCGGACAGAGAGCGGATACCTCTAGTCCGAGGCAAGTTTCTGTTCCCAGGTATACCCAGTCGAGCTGCGCGCTGCTGGGGCCAAGAGATTGGCTCTGACAGTCGTCTGTTGCGGCAACCGCTCCGTGCATGTCATGCCGCCCTCTGCTGAGGACTCCGACAGCGACGGTCGCGGCGGCAATGATCACAGCCGCAGTGGTCGCAGCGTTGGGGATGGCGCGCCTGAGCATCACCGCCGCAGGCGTCGACTGACACAAAGGGGTGAGGTTCGAGTGCAGCGCGGCGACCGCGCAGGCGCGGGCGCGCCCCGTGCTACCGCGGCGGCCGCGACGATCAAGGCCATGGACGCGGACGAGCGCAAGCTCCTCTGCGCGGACATCGAGGCCGCTGCTATGTTCCCCAGTCAGGAGCTCCGCGATGCTGCTGCTCGCCTCGCTCCCGGTGACGATGCGACTGGCGCGCCGAGGGACTGCTTCCTGCAACGTGACACCTGGCGCCAGCCGATCCCGATCCACACGCCCCCTGGCGTTGCAGTTGGCGGCGCCGCTTCGCCTGCCGCGCCTGCTGACGGCAGCCTGGGGGCCTCCGTCCAACAGATCGTGGCTGCGCAGTTTGCCTCCACGAGGTCGGCGCTGATGTCCTCAGTGGCCACCGTCGTCTCGAACTCTCCCGCAGCCCAGACCGCGCCGCAGACGAGTCTCGCCTCCACCACGCAGACGGAGATGGCGCCGCCGCACGCAAAGCAGCCCGAGTTGGAGCGCAACGCGGCGTTCTGCCAAGCCTCTGCGAGCAAGATTCGAGTGGACCAGGTCAAGGCGCCCGCCTCCCCTCGCGAAGATGGAGGAGCTGCTCGGCTCGGCAGGGGCCGAGACACCTGCGCGCTCACTCCGGCGGCTCGCTGAGCGGGACCGCACGGCTGAGCCCGCCGTCTCCACCTGCGGCTCGCCCAATGTCTCCACCGCGGGTGCCCTGCGTAAGGCCATCTCGTCGCGGTTCGAGGCCGCGAGCACGCCGCTCGACGGCACGCGCACTGCCACGCGCCCACCCGTCGCGTCAGCATCCAGATCGAGGGCGGCCCCGGGGCTCCCGCGCGTGCTCTCGTTCTCACTCGCGCTCTTAAAAAATCGGCTACAAGTGGCGCGACGTCGCGGAGAAACTCCACGCGCTGCACGGCGAAGCACGACCTGACAATGCCCAGCGCTGCCAACAGAGCCGCGGAACCATCGCTGCGGAGACCGCTTCAGCATGCGAGCTCAACCTCGGCGCCAACGCCAACGAGCTCACCCAGATCGCCTGGAACCCCGACGCCGCTCCGCGCATCGGGATCGACCACGACCGCCTCGAGGCCCAGTTCGCCAACATCTGCGCGGGCTCCGCGCCCGGGCAGTTGGACGCGACTGGGTCGCATCAGTGGCCTGCCCTGGGCCCCATGAGACCCCGGCGCCAAGCGCGGCTCGCGAGCTGGCCTCAAGGTCATCTCGCGGAGCGCTCGGCCCCTGTCGTGCACGCGGACGCGCCAGCGACATCGGCAACGTTCCAAATGTCCCCTTGTTTCTTCGACAGCGGGCGGCGGTCGCTCTGGAGGAGGGTCGCGGGTCCCCGGCAGCCCCTCATCGAGCCCCTCGAGCGCTACAAGCACAACCGCCGCATCTTCCACGCGAGATGCGCGGGCGCGGCTGCTAACCCTGGGGGAGCGGCAATTTTGATTCCTGCGCTTATTGCGGAGGCTGCCGCCGCTGCTGCTGACCGACCGACGCCCCCCCCCCCCAATAAAATTATCACGCATGGCTGCGCTCACTTTGTTCTGATATCCAGTCCCAGCTCGGGGCGCGCGCCCGCGCTGATGAGCATGCACAACCTCGATTTCTCGGCGGAGAATCTGACTTGCGCGGCAGGCAGGCGGCGAGCTGCTCCGCACCGGGCACGCGAGGATCACGAACATCGCATGTCCGTGGCCATCGGAGACTTCAAGCTCAACGCCGCGCCCACGGCGGAGTACACGCGCCCGCTCGCCGGCCAAAGTGCGCGGCCTGCCAAACGCCACCGTGAACACCCACCACAGTGGAACGCGATGTCTGACGATGGCATGATTGAGATCGTTGGCGACCAGCCGACTCGTTTCGCGAAGGCCACGGCAACCGCCACGACCATCGACGGGGCCTTCCTCTCGCTCCCCGCTCAGCACTTCGAGCAGCTGATGTGCGACCTCGAGGTACACAGGGCGGCGGCTGAGCATTCCGACTGGCGGCTGAGCGACCGCGCGATCGCGCAGCTACGAGCGCGCGCCAAACACTTCATCTTCGAGAATGAGCAGCCCACCCCCACGCACGCATTCAAGTCCAAGCTGCACGGCCGCGCACTCAACACCCTGATGGATGAGCTCGACAAGTCCATTCTCACGCCTGCGACGCGGGGTTTGGAGACAATGCGCGCGATGAAGGCTGTTGCGAGATTCGCGCGGAAACCCTTTTCGCGGGCCCCTGATGGCATCGCCCAAGTTTCCATCGAGGCGCAGCGCCAGACCGCGCGCATCATCGCGAGGTCCGCCTGGCGGCAGGACACGCGGACGGCGCGGAAGTTCATCGTGCACACGGAGTTGGGGAGGCCATGACTTCAGGCCCACGATCACCAGGTCATCCATCTTCTTCCGGATGCCCTCGAGACTAAATACGAACGCCTCAATCATCAACGGCATGAGCGTCGGGCCCAGCAAGTTGCCCTGCGCGCCCAACAACACCACGCTCTTGAACAAGATGCTGCGCTCTTTCGGCGTGAACGCGTGGCTCGGAAACGCGCTGCTCTATGGGCGCCATTTCGCAGACGCCTCGTGCTCGACGGCATTCAGCTGCACGGCGTCGGTCCAGCTGGCCCCGTCGCGCGAGAGCTTGGCTGCATCGCTCACGCGCTTGCCTCGCACTGGCCCCCGATCTCTCGACCGCGACGCGCCGCGGGCCCGCGATGACGAGGTCGACGACTTCCTCGAAGAAGCCACGCTGCAGCACCCGAGGGGGACCTGCCCATGCCTGCGCTGGAGGAGTTGCGCCGGGCCTTCCGCTGCGCGCGCCGCGCGGTCCCCCAGCCCCGACGGCCCCCCCGGCCGACGCTTATCTCCCCTCGCCGAAAGACATTAACAGTGCGCACGCGCTGCTGATCAAGACGTTCGACGGCCCCGCGCCG